TAAGTGTTTATGCCTTTACTAATACAGATGCAGGTGATTTCCAGTTGTTAAAAATTAAATATGTGCCTTGCTTATTGCAAGTGAGGATCCTTGACTGTCATAAAGCCATATGATCTCTTTTTTTGATATGATACCTTTATTTGATAAAGTGGTATCCATGTCTCTGGAGCTGCATGTACAGGCATCTAGGTCTTGAAGGCTTGGTCAGAAAAATGATGGGCTTTACGCATTTTAGTGTAAATCACTGTGTCAGCTCAGAGACAGCAGCCTGAGGAGAAGTGCAACTCCTCCTTTATTCTTACAGAAATTTTTCCTAGCATATCTTCATATGAAACAGGCAAGCCTGCCTGTTATATTAAATATTCACCTTAGTTGTGCACTTTCAAGCAGGCTTCTCACTAATTGTCATATAAGAACAGCGTGTAGTGTAATGCTCTGCACAGACCAGAGAGCACCAGATGAGTGCCAGGTAGGACTGCTGCCTCCTGTTGTTTTAATATACCTCATTTCAAGTCCTAGTAGTGTATCAGCTGGAAATAAATTGTTTCTAACCGTTGAACACTCAAGAAAGAGGCTGTCTAAAAATCTTGACAGTGTTTTTTTGATTAATAAAAAAGATACTGAGTTCATTTTCTCTCGGTTGCAGGGATATCTCAGTGATGACCAGTTAAAAGCCTTGAAGGCTTACAGGCAGCTGATGAATGACAAAAAACAAACTCAGATACAGGAACAATTCAAGAAGGCTTTAGAGTCAGCAGAACAGGAAGCAAATGGTTGTTACAAAAGGGACGTGTCTGCAGTATGGAGATTATATGTGGTGGACTACAGAAAGCAAGAAAAACATAAAGGTTAGTTCTTGAAAAATTATAAATAGTTTTTAACTAAATGTGGTATCTGGCCAGCATAGGTAGATTTGAAGACTTTCCCAACAGTATTTTAGCTCGCATGTTAATATTTCCAGTTTGATTCTTGGTTTAGGGCTTTTGGATAGGAGGGAGCATTGTAGATTTATTTTCTTTAAAAGCCTTCACATTATTACTGAGCAGGTAACTGAGCTTACTGTGCTGTTGTCAGGAGCAGTACTGAGTATCTGGCGCCCACTGCCTGACGTGTGTTCCTTGCTGAAGGAAGGCGCTCGCTACAGGATCTTCCAGCTGTCAGCATCCCAGTCCAGGGGCAGGGCAGACTCCACCAACATCCAGTTAACAGCCACCAAGAAAACGCAGTATCTACAGCTATCAGTAAGTGCTTTAAGTGCATAAAATCATTGAAACACATCACATTGTGTAAGTGTGGTAAATACTGACGTTTTGTGTTTTACCAGGTATCACAGGAGATGCTGGTACAGATTTTCTTTCCAAGAAAGGCTCTAGAATTCACCAGTTTGTTGGATCCTTCTTTTCAGCCACCATGTGCTGAAGTGGATTTAGTCGGAGTTGTAATTTCTGTTAGCAGAACCGGTATGTTGTGGACCACATTCATGTCCTCCCATTGAATAAGCACTGAATTCTTTATTTCAAAAGTCAGTTACCTTGGTGTTGTACCTGCATCTCAGGCCTGTGCAAACCTTCTAATACAGCCTGTCATGGTGACATGCTGGCAGATAAATCTGTATTTCTGAAGAAAAACTGTCTCTGCTTATTAGCTCAGGGAGTTAGTAAGGCAGGATCTAAGCTCAAAAGCAGCTTATATTTAATTTTTTTTTTTCCCATAAATGGTGGGCATAAGTTCTCACATCTGTGCTCAGCATCTGCAGAAACACCATCATGCATGTACATGAACTCCCTCTTTTGCGTACAGTGTCATGGAATGAGTGGAATTCAGGCACTGGAGCTCATGGATAGGGAGAGGTGGATAACCTTCTGGATGAAAAGGATAAGTTCCATAGGAGTACTGTTTCTAAAGACACAGACTTTGAGTTGTTTTCTGTAATCAGTAGGGGGCTGGTGTAGAATATGAAAGAAGCATGAGAAACCTGTCACAAGGCAGATGGGCTGCCATGTAGCTCTTGCAAGATGTGTGTGACTTTTTTTTAATAGATCCAAATCACAGCGCCTTTACTTAAAGAGATGTAAAGGTTTAATTCAGACTTTTTTCCTGCTTTTAGGTTTCACTACTGTGGTGTACTTATCTGATGAAAGCTATAATTTAGTGGCAATAAAGATCTGGACAGATCTCAGACACTTGGCTATTGAAGATGTAGTTGTGCGCTGCTCACTCATCTCAGCAAGCAACCTTCAGTGGCAGTCTGAATTCAGATCAGAAATTCCTGTGCTGTTGGCTGGAGATCTTTCTTTATTCTCAGCCAGTCCAAAGGAATGCTATCTTCAAGAGAAGGTTAATGAACTAAGAAGTGTGATAGAGGTAAACCTGTACAAGTGTCATTTGATGTTTAGTTTTAGTTACTGCTGTGTTACATCCTTCACCAAAAAGTCTGTTAGTATTGATAACTCTTTAAAACAAGTAATGCACTTGTTTATTAACAAGTAATGCACTTGTTATTTAATGCAAATAATGCTGACTTTGAGAGGGATTTTCTGGGAGATGGAGTAAGATGTTAATGCAGTTTTCCTGGAGGATTGAATATCTTGATTTTTGTTCGTTAGTTTGTTTATTTTTGTTTTTCAACTCATCCAGCAATGTCTTTAGGATGTGCTACAGAATCTCTGGCTGGCAAAAGATCTTGTTGCTGTCAATAGGGAATCTGCCATGGACAGAAAGTGCAGCAATCTTCTCTGTTGTTGGTTTGATATAAAATAAAAATCCAGTAGGATAATGATGAGAAAAGAAAGTCATAAATGTAGTGTATACAGTCCTTACATAGTTTGAAAGCCACCTATTCTGCATTGCAAACTCAGTTCTCCCTTACAGAATGTGGCCTCCTTTTGCTCTGATGCGGAAAGTAAATTGATGAATTTGCTACGAAGAAATCTCTTGCTTACACCCAGTTTAACTAAAAGATGTGGCTTGGAAAGCCCCTCTCCTTCCCGCAGCTTTGCAGAGGATAAAAGTTCGGTAAGCTTCTGGTAATTAATGCTGTGTTTGTACTGGCAGTACATGCAGTAAGGATTTAAACAAGTGTTATAGCTGTGGTGAATGGTCTCACTTCTCAGTCTACTTCATCCAGTCTTTTCAGGGCAATGCAAGCTGATTAGAAGCTTTCTCTATGTGTATGGGTTTAGGATTATTCCCCAGGAGGAGCCATGAGATAGATAATCCTTCCTCCAAACAGTGCATAAAAACTTCCCTTGTGCCCTGTGTTTCCACAACATACTTTAAGTATTTTGAATTTGATGTGAGTAAAATGAATCATTCTTTCTTTATAGATGATTTAGTGCTTCTTTGGTCCCACTGTGAAGATTATCCAATGTGAATGTCACAGAAGGAAAAATCTTGATTTGTACATATTTATTTCAAGGCATTTTGCAGCTCCCACCTTTGTTGAGAGAATTTACTTCCTGGTCTTTTGATAGATATTTCTAGGATTTAAAAGGGAAGAGGTATCAATCACCTAGTAAATGTATTTTAGCATTCATGACAAAAATTTATTTAAATAGTACTCAAGTTTTCCATGAAGGCTGCTGGTGGTGAGTTGTTTCTGATGTGCAGTACTGAGCACAGTCAAAACAAAAATTTTTCCTGCCATGAATTGCAAGGGAGGTGGAAAGACCCTGGTGTGATATCAGTTCCTGGGGACTAAGTTTAAGGTTATAAGGCATCCTTTTCCATTTCAGAAGGAGGGTTAATGCTTAATTCTGAAGGTTTAGTTTATTTATTTTATAGACTAACTGGTTTATATCTTTATAGTTTATTAAACACATTAATCATCTTTTTAAAAAGGGGGCATTAAGTGCATTCTCAAGCCTGTGTTTGAAAGATTTGCTATGCTATGATAGCTATTGCTATTTGTGTAATGTTATCTTCAAGTTTTTTGGTCTATGTTCTATCCTGGTTTTTCTTAAATGTTTTCCTCCTTTTTACGTATTTAACCAACCACATGTGGAGGACATAGCCAAGGCAGTAGAGGACTTATGAGTGCTTTGATTTCTTACCATCTGGCATAGAAAAATTCTCATACATTTTGCTTAGCTCTTAGAAACAAAATGTAAATGTACAGGTAAACAGTGATTTATCAATCATCAGCACTTGAAGGAATAATATGAATCACCATCAGGAGATACCAAACTAACCTTAAATGGGATATGAATGATGATGTAGTGTTTTTATATCGGGGGGGTTCCCCCATTTTTTGGAAGTCATTGAGGAAGTTCATGAAACAGAACATTCTATTAAACATAAAACTTCTCTTTTTACCCAGATGTCTTCTAGAATTGAAATGAAGCATCCAAGCCCTTTGTCAACTAGCACACCGTGTGTGAAACTTGTCACACCAGGGTCAGCAAAAACACCTTCACCTGCTACAGTTAATGAAGACTATCTCAAAACCAGCAAAAAGAGAAAAGCTATGGATTTCCTCAGCTGCATACCTGCCCCTCCACCACTGACACCAATATGTTCAGTAATTTCCCCATCTGTTAAAAGAGCATTTCAGCCTCCACGAAGTTTGGGTTTACAGCACAGCAAGTCACCTAAAGAGACAGATCAGAATATTGGACATGTCCCCCCTTGCAGAAAAGTGAGAGAAACTGTCCATCTGCCTGAGAATGACCTGGTTGCTGATGAGGAACTGGCGATGATTAATACACAAGCGCTCATGAATAATTTACCAGAAGAAAAGAAGATTGATTATGTAAATGAAAACAGCAAAGCAACAGCTACTACTTTATCTGATGATCTTTCATCCAGAAATAGTTCCAGGTCTACTGGGGAAGCAAATAACTCATCAAAAGCAGTTCTGAAGTAGCTGAGGCTCTTCAGAAGAACCCAAAGGAACCTAAGGACTCATTACCACCCAACAGAATCTACAAAGACTGAAAATGCTGCTAATGCACATGTACAGTATTGTATATATTTCAAATTCAAATTATTTTTACACTTTGTACATTAAAACTTGATTGTATTTAATAAAGTTCTATTGCAAAAACAGACTCATTAAATACCACTTCATTTGCAAAATAGTTTGAAGTTTAGTTTGTAAACACTTCTCACAAAGATGTATTGTACAATAGCATCAGTGTGGCTGAGGGTTTGATGACATTTTGTAAGCCATTGATTCTGTGTTCTTACATTACAGCAGGATCTTTGTTTCAGTCTAAAGCCATCGGTTTTGTTACCCTCTGCAACATTAGAATCGTTGTTTGGCTGTCCAAAGTGGCACAGGGCATAATAAAAAGTTCTCTTATTTTCACCAAACAGAACACTTCAATTCTGAAATGTTGCTCGCTATTCTGGCACAGTTCTTGTACTTTTCTCCTCAGACTTTCATATAGCAGTAAAAGAGCTTTAAAGAACAGCTATGATTATTTGATTCAGAGCAAAATGCCATGCAGAGTTATTATTCAGTAGTTCCTTGGTCTGTGTTTCTGCTTCAGCTGTTCAGAGCTGCTCCTGTAGCCCTGTTCCCACTTAGGAGTTAACATGCACAAGCCTAACACTAATGTTTCAGTTTTGGAGCCTCTCCGTCTTGGGATCAATGAACTCCTATGTCTTGGCAGGTGAAGAGCTAAGTTTGCTATTTTGAAGTGTTTTGCTTCAAGGCTGGAGAAGCTGTATGTAAGGTAAGACCAGCATGAATCCAGTCAGTGAAAAGGGAACAGCATCGAATCTTGCTACAATCTGTTGAGCTACTTTTGCCGTAATTCACTTTGCCGGTGAAAGTTACAATAATGCTGTAGGCAAGCCAGTAGATACAAAAAGTTTATACAGTCAGATATAAAGCAATAAAATGGCAAGAAATGCCAATTGTGTGGGGGAAGAATTGGCCAAAATGGCCTTAAGACAGAAATAAGTTAGGAATGTTTATTGCTAGCATCAGACTGTGATGTAGAAAAAAACCACCAAAAAGTGGCACGTGGTAGAGCCAGTACATCTCACATATGCCTGAATGGATTTTCCTGGAGGAAGAGAGATGAGAGGGAATAGAGTTTGTACTGGGTACAGTGCTCTTACAGTGGTCCTGTAGAGCTGTGAGATCACAGTCCAATGCCATTTAAAGGTAGTAAGAAATAAAAGTAATTTAGAACTGTAGTAGAAAAACACAAGAATAAAAAACAGTTTAGAAAAAAAATGTCAAACTAGAGAGCCTTGTACCCTGATAATTAAAACACCAAGGAATGCATATCTTCAGTTAAATGTCACATTTGTACGTGCTGTGCCAGGTCTCCTCCTTGGCAAGGCAGAATGGTGGGTGGGATGGGAACCTGTGCCATAAGCTGCACTTGCTCCACTGCAGCTTCCCTCATCCCTGCTTGGTTTTTCGGACTGGAGAACACTGTGAAAGGTAACATTGTGCTCGTATTGTTCTTTCATCCGTTGTATCTTTTCCCGGGGGACATGATGAATATTCCTTCTGTAGAGTCAACAGTAACAGAAATTACAAGTATTTAGCTGCCTGTGTATGAGAAGTTTCAGTTTGCTAAAGTTCCTGATAGGTTCAGCGTAACAGTTCAGGTCTCCATTGATCTCTTTCTGGCCTTTTTTTTTCAAATTACTGCTCACTTCCACCTACTTCTTAGTAATATTATTGTGACTGCTGAAAAACATAACACTATTGTTTTGGGGAGGCAGACAGGACAAAGGAAGTTGACAAATGTCCAAAAATAAGAGTCATGTAGAACTGACCTGTGTGGTATTTTATACAAGTGTTGCTGTGTTTTAGCAGTAACAGCTTGTTGGCTTCAGTGAGCTTTTGTACAGCTGGAGATACGCAGCCAAGGGCTGCAGCCAGCCCAGACACTGAGGTAGCAGCAAGGACAGAGGTCACAGACTGCTGTTGCTTTGAGAGCAAATAGGGAAGCACCACACATGATGTAGCTCAGGCTCCAGGGTAGACTCGTAAATTACAAGTTTGAGAGGGAAGGGAACACAATGCTCAAACATGCAGGGCTTTCTGGTTAGAGTAGCCAGAGTGGCACCAGCCACGATCCCTCCACAATTTAGCAGGAATTGTCTTCCCAAAGACCACCAGGGATTTCTGTTCGTGAGTTTGCAAACCCCGAATATCATGGGTCTGCTATTTAGTGCTACTAAGGCACAGCTAATGAGTGTATGTGAATGAGCTTTACAATGCTGCTGTGAAAAGTCAATGTATGTCAAATGTTTAATTAATGTTTAATTAATGTTTAATTAAATATATTGCAAGTTTGCTGAGTATCTCTGCCTACAACGAATGATCAGATTGTGCCCCTGCAGTGCTCCCCTACCAATGGCTGGTGCTGCTGAGGCCAGAGCTGGCTGACAGCTCAGGCTGGTGGTGTCCTCACCTGTCCCCAGCCCTGAGCCATCATCTGCCATGTCCCGCCTCCCCCTGCAGCTACTATTGCTCTGGGCCTTGGCCCTCTGCCGTTCATGTCCGTCACACACAGACAGGAGCAGCATTAATTTCTGACTAGAGCTCCTGGCTGGTAGAAAACAAATCCATCCATTGCAATGAAGTGCCCATGCCTTGTTTTCTTGCACTAACAAGTTAGCATGTGTTACCTTCTGGATTTGGTAGCTGGGAGAGCACTGTCCCCTGTAACTCATTTCACATCGGGCTGGCTAAAGGCTAGGAAAAGGCTAGGAAAGGCTAACTAAAGGCTAGGAAGCCTGCATGAATTTTTTCTGTGACTACAGCCATTAACCCTGCAGCCACTGGTCAACATAACATTCTTTAGAGCCGCTATATGTGCAGAGTGGATACATTCTTTATATCCTTTTTGTGTGTGTATTAAGACCTTTACAAAGACCCTCTAGAGCCCCATTTCTTACCCACACTTGATGTACCATGCCTCCCTGCTGCAGCAGGACAGCATCTGTTATGGTTAGATTCTTAAGGACAGAAGTCTGAATATTGTCTGTAGTGCTTAGATTCGGGTCTGTGCCCAAACAAAAGACACTGCTGCTCAAAATACACAATGAAAATCAGGACTCCTGCCCCATCAAGCTTGCAGCACAAAAACAGGGCTTCAGGGCTTGTTGCTTTTTCTACTGCCTGACTCACTTCGAGCTCTTTTCAGCTTTCTTTACTACAGACCAGGTACTCAGTAATGGGAATTTTCCACAACAATCCTTCTATTGTCATTTACCAGGTTACATTCTTCCTTAAATGAAGAGAGAGAAGGCCGACCTTCTCAGAGCATGTCAACAAAAGGACAAGTTGTCTTCTCCAGCAAAGAGAAAACTATGTACCTTGTTAGTTCTTGAACATTGAACTTCCAGGGTGTGTCCGGTTCTTGGAATGTAACTTCATATCTATTTTCACGTGCCTAAAGGACACGAAGGTGACATTATGAAACTGCACTAAAAGAATTGCCACCTCAGCCAGAACTCCTGACAAGAGACACCAATGCGTCTTCAAAGACTGTATGGTACGTTTTTCACAAGTCATGAACTACAATTAATAAATTAATAACAAAATAATATTTTGATATATTGGTCAACAAATAGTTAAGGGATTGTTCAATTCATGTCACTACTGGGGAAGGGTATGATGCCCTCATTACCAAGAAGTAGCAGGGCAGGTTCAAAGGCCATTAATCTTTTCAAGTTGTTTTGCCTTCACTGAGTTACCAAGTTGACCAGCTGAACAACTACATTGGCACCTCTGCCCCTACTTCATCACAATATCCATCGTTAACTATAATTAGAGAACTATGGGAAAACTGAAGTAAATATTTTTAGCCATGTAAAGAATCTTTTCAGTCAAATCTCCTTGTAAATGTCATAGCTAGGCATACAAAAGCAATAAATAGGAGCTTTCCCTACCATCATCACATACGGCTTCATTTCCCAAGCATGGATGTTGGTATTATCAATAATAACCGGGCTTTTCCCATTCTTCATTGCTTTGCGTGCTGCAATGTAACACATTAAGTAAAGCTAAAATATATTCAATAACAGAGCCAAGCCCTACTAGCCCTAAAGCGTCCTTTCTCTGCCCACTGCTCGCATGCTTGGTTCCCCACCAAACCTGGGTTTGCAGTTACCACTCAAAAGGGAGCCGAGGTCAGAGCCTAGCAGCTCCCATGGAAGAGGAGATGCAGCCTCTGGCTGATCTGAAGCTCTTATAGAACACAAAACAGCCAAAAATTCCTGTCATTTGCAGGAGATCCCTGTTACATTGATCTCAAAGTATGTTCGCCATCGCTACAGATTCCTCCAGAGCACACCCACAAAAGCAGGGTACACTGAGGTGAATTAAACAACCTGGGTTGTTTAATTCTCAAACTTAAACTCAGCCTGTAAGTTTTCTTCCTATCATTACATTCCCACCCCCTTCCAGGTCAGGACAGACACCTAACAAGTTAGAGGCAAAGGCTGCAATGCCTATGCTGCAGGGAGCAGCTGCTGGGCTGATGTCTGAAAGGTATCAAGATTCAGTAGTGCTTCCTCTAAAATAACATTAACCAACCTCCAAAATGTTTTCATTTTCAATTTTCCCTTTCGTAAGTCAGAAGAAATTAAATCAGAAGTGACAAATGTATTTTTTTAGCCAATGGCCCATGAACTGTAATCTTTGACACCACCTCGAGATATTTTATTCTGGGGACTAAGTTTAAAGACAGCCTGAAATCCAAACTATTTTGCACAGTCCCTGCATCAAGTTTGGTCACCTCTTTTCTGGTTCCACTTGTGTGCATCCTCTAAGAAGTCAGGCTCAAAGATGTAGACACCATTTTCAACAAAGAAGTCATCAGTACTAAGGACTACAGCACTGGGGTGCTCACGTTTCAGCTGTCTGCAGGGAAGAAAAAAAAAAAGAAAAACAAAAGATGAAAGAAGGATTAGTACCTGGTAACACCCTTTAACAGAGACCATTACATCACTATTTGAGTGCTGTGCAAATACACACAGTGCTTCATTTGAAAAATCCCAATTTAAAGGATCTGGAAGTACTGCAATCATTAGATGGACACATAGGAAGAAAGGAATGGAGCTCGAAGGCATGGCCTTGATTTCTTTAATTCAGCAGAGAAATCTACACTGGACCAACAACATCGAAGTCTTTAATTAATATATTCAGCTCTCCTTCTGAGTTATCTGAGAAAGCAGGATTATAAAGAGAAGGGAAAAAAAAAAAAAACAAACCAGCAACCCAAACCTGCTTTTCCAGGCATGAAAGTTGGTGTCAGAAGACAATCTGACAATGGGAATTTTGCTACAGAGATTTCTGAAGATAACCAGGAAGAAGGATTTGTCATTTAGTAAAGATGGTCCAGACAACCATCAGTTTGGTTTGGGGGGCTTTTTTGGTTGTAAAGTAGGTAGCACTTTTTAAAAATTCTAATTTGCAAACAAGTATCTGAGTGATAAGCCAATATTTTCTATTATTTTATGGAATTTTGTCCTTGTTCCACTTAATCCTCTTCTTGTAGGGTTGAGTAATTTTTATACCTTCAGCTTTTAAACAAATTTCACAAACAAATCTGAGTTTATAAAACATATTTTATAGACAAATTTTCAGATCCATAGAGCAGACTGCTGTGGTGAGTCACTCTGGGCAATCCCACTTCCCTTCACAGGTGTGTCCCCCAGCAATGCTCCTGCAGGCCGGGGGTGCCATGGGGAGTGGATGTGTGTCCTGCTGGACACTGAGCAGCTGCCTCACAGGCAGCCACTGCCTCTTGGAGGTGGAAGGAAGTGCTGCCTTGTGTGGAGGTTTAAATATGAAGCATTCCTCTGCCAGTCCTTAGAGACCACAAAAAAAACCAAAACAACCCTTAATATATGATTGTGTTCCCATATGTGTATAATCCAGATTTTTTTGTGTCCATAGACAGAATTGTCCTTTTTTTTTTTTCAATCAGAGAAGTGCTGGGGGAGGAGGCAGTCTCTGCAAGAATTCAGGGAAAGCCCATGGCATCCTCCCTCTACTTCCTGTCTTCCTAAGGCCTGGAATGTCTTGGGAAAAGAAAGAAAGGTCAGTCAAGAAACCCTGTGTCTCTCAGACATGAATGCTGCTGCCCTGCTGTCTCACACCACACATGGTCTCCAGCCCCTGTGACTCATTTCAGCTTTCCTCATAAAACACTTCTTCCATCCCCACAAGCTGCAAAATAACAATTTCTCAGTGTCTTATCTATGTGGGCAAGAGCAAGGGAAAAGGTGTCTCCAGGTTATCAGCAGAAGAACAGGCACACATAACAACCTTAATTCTGTCATCCAGCTCTGTTCCAACCATTTACTTACCAGTGGTACCCCAATCTGCCTGCAAGCAGCACCTCTTCACTAGGACTGCAGGGTGCATTTAGCTGAATAGAGGTCAGCTTCTGACTTTGCTCTGTCTCCACTGTAACTTCTACCATCTGCTGATTAATTAATATTATTTTGTGTGGAGTTCACCCCAGTGAGCAGAGACTCGGTGCTGATAGAGCCAGGACTGGGCTTCACCCCCTGTACATCATTCAGCACCTACCTGTCCTTGTCTTCCAGCTCCAAAGGGATGCTTTATTCACAAAATTACTGCTGGGCAAACTGATTTAAGAAAAGTCATGTTTTAAACTGTTAGCGAACAGTAAAATGTTGTTGCTTTAAATTTGGCCTCAGGCAAAAAATTCTTATAATTAAAATCACAGCAACACCTAATGCTTATCTGGTTACTGCTGTGGATAACCTGATATATTCAGGTCTCACTATGATTCAGCACCTCACCTTTCTCACTGCTTTATTCATTGCAATTTCTTCTCTAAAAAATTGACTGCTGAAATATGTGTTGACCCTTTAGGTACAGATAGGCACACAAAATTGTATACATTAATAAAATATCTTAATACCTTTTTTTCTTGTTTAGTATTTCTTTTTAAAATGTTCTTAACCAGGGCAAATTTTAAAATCCATTTTCTTAGTACATACCTTACTGAATTTTCAACACTGAGACCTTGGATACTAACCCTTAAGAAATCTAAACTGTAGGTGAATAGCTGCAAGCTCAGTCCACTGTCCTCACATCAATAATTAAAGTAGGCAAAACTTGTATTTCAAAGGAGGAAAAATATGGGACAAAATCGGCTGAGAGCCACGAAATACTGTCACATTTGCTATATTCATACCAAATGAGCTCCTGCTAACAGCAACATAAGAAAACATGAAGTAGGAAAAAGATGGTTTACCTTCTGTTTATTTTGCTGGTTTTAACTTTTAGCAAAACAACCAAACTGTAGCTGAAGTTTACAGCTGTTTTCTGCAATTCCTTCCATATTGTCCACAAAGCTGGCAAAACTCCTATTTCTTCTCTTCCTTATCATTCCAAAGGGCACCAAGAACCTTTTTGTGTGTTCTTTATGAAATGAGCCTTCCACAAATCTTCACAGGACCTCAGGTTGGTTTAGAAGAAAGGTCCTGCATAATCACACAAGGCTCTTAAATCACTGTAAGCAATTAAAATGCATGTATTCTAGAAAAATACACACCAGCTATGCAGAATGGGATGGCTTGTGACCATGGTTATTTATGAATAAATCTTGAACTGCCCTGCAAAAAGGAAATTACCCACTGCCGGTAGATCACTAAGTAAAGCTTACTAAGGAGGACAAGAAAAATGCAATCTCTTTGCAAGACCAAAAGAGATATTGGATCTATGTTTGCATTTTTTTAAGGAGTCAGTGAACTGGAAGCATCCATGAAAGGTTCAGCATTAATTTGCTTTGGACACATAATTGTACAGTTCTGCATCTCTTCCTCTTGCAGTGGGTATGATACCTCCTTCAGTTTGTAGAGGGGCGAGGAGAAAAGGGTTTGAGGAGATTTATTTTAAGCTGAGGAAACATCCCCCATTCTCTTCTTACTTTCTTATTCTTTGTAGTTTCTGAAACAGCAGCAAACCTTTCTTTAGCAAAGGATAGAGCATCATGCACTTTGTATCCATAGGTTATCACACTTTTCCATGAGAAAACTTTAAAATAAACTGATTTCTGATAGCAGATTGGAAGAAACCTTTTCAGTTCTCAGAAGGCCACAGAATGGTGCATCAGAGACCAGAACACCTATGAACCAGCACCACGTGCAACCACTTGCTCTGGCCACTCTTCCCAACAGTTGACTGTTCTGTGGCATTTAAAAGGCACCTAAATCCATTCTGTTTCAGCAAGAAAGCAGGACGGTGAGATCTGGAGCACATGCCCAGCACTTGAAACTGTCTATTGTGTTTGAACAACTCCTGGTGCCCTGAGGACTTTGCTTGGCTGAGCTTCCTGGTGCTGCTGGCAGAACACAGCCGTGCCTTTGTGTCTCTTTGAGGGGGTCCAACCATGTAAAGCACCAGGCTCGTGTGGTATTCGGTCAAAGCACTCAGGAGACTCACCTGAAGTGGTTTCACTCTACTTTTCTCACCTTTACAAAGGTAAATGTTTACAGGGCATTGCTGCCTGGAGGCAGGAGCTGCAGAGATGAAGTCCATGAACCATCAGAGCTGCAGTTCTGCAGTGGGGTCAGGTGCTGGTAATGCTGGGAACAGCTGGCCCAGGACCAGAGGTGCTGGGATAAACCAGGCAACAGCAGCAGAGAGAACTGGAGAAGACACAAATTGTGCCAAGCAGTGATGCCTCAGTGCCAGTGCATTTTTGCATTCAAAAAACCAGACCTGAACTGATCCGTGCCAGTGTAGGGCTGCTCTGAGCTGGGAGCAACCAGGATGAGGAAATAATTTTAACAAAAATAACTAAAGCTTACAAAGCTATATCCAAACTCTGCTGCATGACACTGAAAAGTCAGTGAAACAAGCCATGGATCCAAGGTTGTTCCTAGGACTGTGTGACAAATGGGAAAGGGGCCTTTTGACTGGAGTTATCACTGGGTTGCTGTATCACCAGTGATAACATTCATGGTTTGAGACTCATGAGCACCATAAAGATGTAGAGGTTGTGATAGAAATACAGAAATACTGGCTGATATGCAGAATGAATGAATGTAGATGTGTGTGAAAGCACTAGAAGAAAGAGCAGAGCAAAGGCTAAAACAATGGTAGCCACCAACAGCCAAGATCATTAACAGCAATAAAACTGGGACAGATGTTGTTTACACCCCCCACGGCCAGCACTCAGCTGAGGTCCAGGACTGGTGACCTGCCACAGGAAAACCTGTGCTCTGACAGCTGGAAGAAGGTCAGTAGGACACACCAGCCTCTCCACACCTGCCTCCTTCCCCTTGTTCCAAGAGGGGCAGAGGATGAAGACACCCAAAATGGGAAAATGCATATAACAGGGGGAAAACCCACCTAAGATTCACAGAGCACCAAGTTAGCAGAATTCACAGGCAACAAAATGCTAGTATAGGAGCTGTTGGCTGGAGATGGCACAGCAGACCTGGCCAAAACCCACCCTGTCACCACCAACTGAGAGCAACCCAGCAGAGAAAGCCAGGAGGGGAGAGCTGATGGTCCTTGTGTGCTCTGATTTTGGGCAGACCACCTGTGCACATGTATCTTGATGCTTGCAAGTATTAAGTTGTGATATTGTGAGTGAATAAAATCTGAGAAAATGAACTTGAATTTAAAAAATGAGTTTATAGAGTGCTTTTGCAAATAAACAACCACCTTCCTCCTCCAGTGGGATCTTGCACCGAGATCTGTTGCAGTCATTTTTTGCAAGCTTTCCCTTGTGCAGCACATAGCATTTACCAATTCTAAAAGGTATGCAGTGGGAGAACAGCAAAAGAATTCTCTTAGTACAGTCCTTCACAATCTGGAGTGTTAAGAAGAGGTACTAAATGCTGCTTTTTGATCTGTGTGCTGCTGAACAGCTAAACACGCTACAATTAACAGGGGCTAGAAACAGTAAGATACTCAAATGTTCATCTCACAGAGGACTACTACAACAATACTTACAACTGATTTTGTGAATATGTCATTAGCAATTAACCTTACATTTTGATCTCAATAGTACAGGTAAGTACAGTTACTTGCACTGCCTGAGAATATGCCCCCAAACTTTTATGCTCTTACTGTGCTTTGAGATGACCCAAATCCCCCTGAAGGAGCAGGCCCACACTTACACAGCCTCTTAAGGGAGAGGTGTGTATTTTGGATGTGAGCAAAACACAGCATTTGGTAATTCATAAAAGAACTTCGTTTGCCAAAGGGCAGTGAGGCAGAGGGCCCGGTGGGACAGGGAAGTGTTGCACTGAGAAGAGGAAACTGGCTATGAATCCAGGGTATCACACAGCTTCATGCTGCCACCTCTCACAGCAGAGCCCTTCCTGCGGCAGCCCGTGATCCCAGCACGGGTTCCTCAGCCCAGCAGAGGAAGAAGACAAGGAACCTGTTCCTCTTTTGATAGAGCAGTGGCACTGGAAGCTGTGTGATACCAGACTGTGAGATTTTGTGATATCAAACTACAGCTGCACAGTCACACCGATTGCAGTGCTGCTTCCCAGCACTCCCCACCGTGTTTTTCCACTTATTTACAATCAGCCTTTGGGCTGTTGGAAGGTGGAGTGGTCCCCTCTACTCATTTTATACACCGCTAAAGCTCTGACCAGGAGTGGGAAAACAGAAGTCAGAGTTGTCAGTTTTCAGCCAGAGAGAAGGAGCGTTTTACCATGTTCGTGATTAAACACAAAAAAACCAACCCAACAAAACCAAACCAATCAATATTAAAATAAATAAATAAATAAATAAATAAATCACCAATCTGGAACCCTTGAGAAAAGGAACAAGTACCGCCTTGGTCGGGGTGTTAAGTCCATCTCACCAGAAGCATCCTCGTAGGTACCGTTCGCTCGGAACGGGAGCTGGCACAGTCCCACGGGCAGGACACTCAGACACGGCCACAGGTGCCCGGGACAGCGCAGCCTGGAGCGGGCCTGGAGCCGGGGGAGTTCCGTGCGGCTGCCCCCGGCCGAGGCTCCCCCGCTTCCCCCCGACCCCAGCCCGGCGGGTCTGCAGCGACTGCCGGGCGGGCACACGAAGCGCTGCCCCTCCCCGGAGCCGGGACACGCTTACCTGGCCAGGGTGCTCTTGCCGGAGCCCGGCAGCCCCCGCAGCAGCACCAGCCTCCCTCCGGCCCGCGGGGCTCCCAGGCTCAGCCCCGCCAGGGCCTGGAGCAGCCGCTCCTCCGCGGCCGCGGGGCCGGGCCCGGCGGGGCGAGGGGTCGGGGGCGGCCCGGGATGGGGGGCCCGGGGCAGCCGCTCCGCAGCCCGGCCCCGGCCCCGGCCCCCGCCCCGGCCCCGGCCCCGCGTCCCTCGGCCGCCGCGGGCGGGGCCGGGCGGGAGAGCGCGTCCCTCCATGTCCCGGGCGGCCGAGACTTTGCCCCGCGAAAGCGAAAGCTGCCGGCAGCAGAGACACGGGCAAGGACGGGCGGCTGCACTGCCAGAGCGCTCGGCTACGGCACTCGCTTCAGAGCCGGAACTTTGGCCCGAGATACCATCTCCAGTTATTGAAAGTCAGGGTTATTCCCCAACTTCTCAAAGGCAGGAAAACACAAGGCAGCGCTGACAGCGTTCCAGTCACATGTGCCTCTCTGTATTGCGAACTACAGGGCAGGCTCGAAAGGGAATGAATCATCATCAAAGCCCGAAAGAGAAGTAGGGCTGGTTTCAGGACACCACCAGGTATGCACAGACTTCTTCGCCGCCCGCCCCTTCCCTAGTAACGAGCTATCGGAATCCTCTTCAACCACAGAAGCAACAAGGATACCAAGGGGATGTAGCTAAACAACCGCCCAGCACGGAACAAATGACCCCGTGCATCACGGTCACTACACTATCCTCTTTTTTTTTTTAAAACATATTATCGTAAGAGAAAGTAAAGGAGGTTTTAAAGATTTCTATCCTCTAAAGAAAGCCTGATTTCCGTTAACTTGATCACCAAAGAAGTCAAAGAAATTACAGTTTTCAGTAAAACCAAAAACCAAAAATAGTTGGAGTGGCATCACACCCTCCCTCTCAGAGCTACACACAGCATCCTGCCCAGCTTGGTTAGGAGCCAGCCCCAGGTATGCCCCAAGCACACACCACCACCAAACCTCCATGCTGGAGCTTAAGGTTCTGAGGTTCCAAACAGTGCTAAAGAGAGTGTTCACATCCAGGGAGAAAGCTTAGCTCCCCAGGGACATGGCACGCCAATGCTGACTGAAGCAAGTGGGGAAAATGTGACAGGAAAGAAGAGACAGAATATTTGAAATTCACAGATACTGGGGAAAGGGGTTAAAGTAAATTTAACTGGCAACACTCTACTAAGAGATGAAACATGACTTGCCCATACAAGACTATTGTGAGATTTTGAAAACTGTTTTTATTTCAAGCATTCTGGAAGGCCAGGATTCAGTAACAGAAAATAGAGGCGTTCAGATTTCTTGCTCAATAAACAGAAATAGGAAGACAGTATTAATTCTTGAGTGACATTTTCCTGAAATCAAACTAACTTGTCTGCTGCCACTAGTAAAACACAGAAGTCTGAAGCTGTAGTTATGGCGGTATGAACTCCCTTCCTCCTCTCCTTTACATTTTGTGTAATCTGCTGGTGGGAGAGCAGGACATTTTCAGCCGAGGAAGACACGCACACGGGAGATGCATTCAAACAGTGCAGCCAGAAAAATTTTGCCAGTGATACAACATTAATTTAGAAATACATACATTGTTAACTGCTTTCATGTAGATGCAGTATTTAAGTGGAGACACATCAGCAAATTCAACCATGGTGAAGCTTCAGCACACGCTCAGTCAAGCCCTGGCGCTTCAGCTGATGTATAAACACATGCAGGAAAAGGTGAGGAAGAGGAGATGAAAGAATAAATGGAGAAATATTCTGGATCTGCAAGCTGCACAAGTGGGAAATATTATTTCTCACAAGTAGACACAACCAAGTTTCCTGCTTCTCCTCAATCATTTCTCACACTTTTATTAAGTGAGGTGACAGTTGTCTTTCCTGTCACTCTCTCTCCCTACAAGGAAGTGTCCAGTCTTATGCACGCCTCATAATTGACAGTGGTTGCTCTTCATAATTAATTGTAATTTGTCTATCTCTACATACATAAATATTTCCAACACCACTAACAGAAACATCAAATCACTGGATACCAGTGCTAGTTATACATCTTCTCAGTCTACCAAAACCCTTCCTCCAGCATGTATGAATCAGTTCTATAGTGAAATATTCTTGTTTCTATAGTCCCAAATCCCCAAATGAGTCTAGCTGAGGGGAAGCATAAAACCTGGTTTCAGGAGAAAAGAAGGGAAGTTGTGCACCCCTAGATAAGTGAATAGGAACGATGGATGAAGATTTTTACCATTTGAGATTGTAAAGGGACTGGGTGCAATTATGACTGAGGGTGAAGGCAGAAGGAGGCTAAGACACATAAGAAGCACCATTCCCTGCAGGTGAGCATCACTGCCTGCTTCTGTGACAATATCCTGCATCCTCATACAGGTGAATTAAATACCACAGCCTGAAGCTCACAGCCCATAATGACAGATGCCTCTGGTCTCCACTCTCAATCTCTTTATACCACACTTGAGGATGTACTGAGAAAATGTAAATCCCAAATAGCTTCAGAAAATTACCTTTTGCCATGCACAAATTTATCTCAATTTTGATCATTATTACATGGACAGAGAGGTTGATATAAGGGAGCAGTGTTGGGGGGAAGTGGCCAAAGATGTACACCAAGAAATCTACAGTGGTTTCTTTCTTCAAGGTTGTCCCTCACGTTTAAAATCCTTGGTGGCCAACTGAAGTCCTCCCATGGTGGAATCAAAGCGAGAAGTTTCTGAAATAAAAAAAGAAGAATGTTTACTGAAGTTCCACAACAGCACAGGCAGCAAAAAGACTTAACTGATAATCCAGCCTTCAGACTGAGAAGAGTCTGCCCAATGTTTTTTACAGTTTCTAACACTCAGCCGTTGCTTATTTCTTTAAAAAGTAAAAAAGAATGGAGAGGAAGCAGGCAATGGAAAGCAAAGGAAAAATAAAAGAATGCAAGTAGAGTGGAAAAGGAAGATAAGAACTTGAATGTCAAAACTAGAGGCGTAAGGACCTTACCACCTCAAAGCTGAAAAATAAGGAGAAGAGTAACACAGTGGATTATTTTTTTCTCTACAAGTCACAAACCCTATGTAAGGAACAGCTGTTCAACCAATACCACCATAGTACAGCTACATCTCAATTTTTTTGTTACAATGTGAATTGTTTCCCCTGTTACATGCACTCAGGACCTCAGGCTTTCATCTTACAGAGTTTGTGTGAGGTACCTGCACAACTCAATTGTTGCTCTTTCCTGAGAGCTCCAGAAACACTGCTGTGGTCAGCTCTTATTCCCCCAGGTAATTAGACTCTCTGCTTAAGTGATTTTTTGAGCCAGGTTTTCCTGGCATACACTGTAAAAGGCAGGCGAGGTTTTCTGGTCACAATTCTGTGCACTTTTTCATGCTTCATTTTGTTTAATATTAGTGGTTAAATGTCAAAGGACAGATAAGTTTTTTCACTATTATCTGTGTATCAAAGTAGCAACTGGAAGAGGTTTGACCATGGGATGATATTTTCTGTGGCAATACTGGAGGACTGCTTTAGTCTGCTTTGTATCCTTCAGACGGAAATCAGACTATCCTTTTTTCATTTTAGACAAAAACCAAACCTGCCTGTCCCAGCTATAACCGCCTGCTTTTTTGCCCATGTCCTGCTGATCTCATGGACTCTAGGACAATTTGCTTCATTTCCATAGGCCAGACCAAAAACTTTTTGGATGTCTTTGTGCATTAGATGTTAGAGCTGAACTGCCTCACTCAGAAGCATCACAGCCAGCAAAAGGAAGTGCCGGGAATAGCACAGCCAGGAAAAGGAGGAATGATAACACAAGGTTATCAAGAGATTTGTCCCATCAAAACCGCACCCTTCAGGGCTGCTGTGGAATAAGTATTCCTGCAGGGAATTACTGACTGCTGTACTTCAAAAAGAAATACGCCAGCTTCTGCTTTGCAGTAGTCCTGCAGATAAATGCTTGAACAGACACATTTGTATTGCACTGGCATCTGTGAGTCCTGGTCTAAGGAGAATTTCTATGCACCTAAATAATGCTGTTTTCACTGATCTCGACATTTCTCAAACTGGGAACTCTTGCTTAATCTCCAGAACAAATACTGATGTGCTGCCAAAGTGCAATAAGGAGCTCTCACTAAAACTTGAGATTAACCCTGTATTTTCACAGAGAAACACTGCTCATCCTCCCATTGGAATAACAACACCCTTACACAACATGAATACAAAAGCATGTTCATCTGGCTAACAGATTAAGTTGCACTTGGCCAGTAATGCTCAGTTTGCTTTCCAATCTAAAGGGATCAAAGTGATCATATTAGCTCTCCCTTGATTTCCTATGATTTTAAAATCTTTTGGTGGGAATGTCTCAATTTTCCTAGTTTTTTATTCCCTCCCTGACCTTTGAAGGAATGAAATCAATTTCAGCGTTTACAGTTGTTCACTTGAGCAGTTTCACAACCACTCTGGGACATCATTCTTGGCAAGTCTGCTTTAATCAGCAACCAGAGGGGGATTATTTTGTGGTGAGGCAAGACAACCTTATCCCTCAAAGCCAGGGCACTATCGATCAGGAAAACTCACCTGTCTTTTACAATACCTGCATGCAGACATTGTGGAAGCACTGGAATACTCAAAGTATCCTGTGCCTGACCGTGAGCATGAGCCGACTGAAAACCCTAAGACATGCTTCTTCCTTTCCACATACTTTTCTTGGTTTAATTATTTAACATTCTACACATGTAAAAGCTTAAAAGAGTCCTCCACCTGAAGGTTTGGTTGCAGAATACACGGCCCCTGATATCAGAGCTGACTGCTGCCCAGACAGGACACCCTGCACGTCCTCCCCTCATATCTGCAGCAGCACGACCTCATCTGCTCCCTTGCCCCAACCTTGGCACTTAGCTGGACCTTACAGCAGCTTATCTAAATGCCTCAGTCCAGCAGAAAAGTATTGATTTGTTTGCTGTGGGGTTGGTAAGTTAAATGATAGCCTGTCAGCCAGCAAGTGCTGGAGCTGCTATCTGCAGCAGGGCTGGGAGGAAGGGCACTTCACACTTTGGGCAGCAGTTACCCATTGCATCAGCCTGCTCTGAGATGGCAGATCCCAACTCCAGAGCAGCCTAAACCCATCTGACCTCTGGTGTCTCATCCTCTCCCTCCAACAGCCTTCACGACTTTCCTTGACTCATTTCAGATGCTGAACTAAAACAAAGGAAAACAAAAACCCCCAACATTAAACTCCAGCTGTATCACCCCATTCCAGCATAGATCTCAATGACCAAGCTCTGCAGAGACAGTGCAAGGCTTTTGGTAAGATGGGGAGTCTTCCTTCATGGCAAAGTCTTCATTGCTCTCATTCTATATTCCACAGAACTAACACAGGCTGACACAGTAGAGCTTTAGACTGCAACACAACATAACAAATGGGGGTTTCCTGGCAGCAGACAGTGGCTGGGTCACAAACACGGCTATGGGTCATTTCTGCTGTGCTTGTGACAAGCAGGAGAGGAAGACTGAAACAATTCTGGGAGCAGCAGAGCAGACAGACAAAGGAAGTAAATCTGATGTGGAAAAAACAGTTTGTTGGAATTCAGCAACCACATAAAGGTACAGACAATAAGGAAGGATAATCTGCTAGCATGTGCCTTTACTTTCTTGAAGCACAAAAGGAAAAAGTTTCATATTTCACAATTTTCTCCCAGGAAGATGGCAAAGCTCTTCACATCTGTTTCTTTAGCATATAAACATTTAATCAATATCCTGGACATTTCTGGATAATACTTTAGGATACAGACCCACATAGACATCCAGTTAGGACCATAAGCCAAAATCCTGCCTCAAGAGTGTTCATATTTGCAATATTATAAACAAGTAGCATCTAGAAATTGGCAGCAAGTGTAGGCCTAAGTATTTCGTGAAAATAATTTTAATTGCTTACCCAATATTGTATTATTTGATTATATAAGAGGAAAATACTGTTACCAGATGTTATTAATGATCTGTGCTGAGAGCATCTTGTGAGACTGGTGCCCTCTGGGCCACACGGTTCACAGAGATCTCCCTCATCCTCCTACATTGGTAGCTGGTTCCAGCTAATCAGCCTGCAATGTCATTTTTGTCATCAATGACATATAATCAAATCAAACCTCATTCAAGAGGTTTCAATTCCAACCCAAACCATTCAACTTCTTCTCCTCTGACATGAACATCCATTGTGAAAATTTCCATGTTTGTAACAGTCCCAACACAGTGTGCATCCACCTCCTTGACTCCTGCTCCAGCCATTGACTGGAGGCATGGTCAGCTCAGGCACAGGGCACCAGGTGACAAAGACCCCCTGACCAGACCCCATGTGGATGATATTCCAGCAGTCCTGTGATGTCTGGATGGGAACAATTTAAGCCTCAGAATATGCAATCTTCTCTGGCTCAGTTTGCTCATGGTTCAAGTTATTCTTTTTCCATGTACCTCAGTTTATTTGTTTAAAAACTCCAGATTAATCCATTTTCCATTTTGGAAAGAACAACTGGTAGCAAATGATAGAGAAATTAAACTAGCATTTTCCTGCTGGAACTCATAATCCTTCCTTCTTATCTCAACCTTCCCAGAATATCTCTCATAAGCAAACCAAAGAAACTTTGCCAAGTTACCAAAGGGCTCAAAA